CTTTGTTGTCAGTGTAACATGAAGAACGTCACAACTACATTGTAATTATTTTGTGCTTCCCGAAGGCTAAAAAAAAAAAAACTGTGCCTGCCAGTTTAGTTATTTTGTCAGTGTCAATGTGTTGCTGCACCGATTGTGTTCAACTTTCCGTTACAGGATTATAAAACGCCGACTCAGCTACTCTGCTTTGTTCGCATTACTCGTTGAGCCTTGAACACAAACAAAAACAACACTTTATGTTTCATAAATGCCATCATGAGGGCTTGGGGTCCAAAATTTTAAAAATACAAAAAAAAAAACAAAAAAACATGATCTTTTGCCCCCACTGTTTTCCATCAATGTACACTAAAGCGCAAAAAAAAAAACAGTTGCACAAAACACAGGGCATTCCACGACTGTCTCGATTATTCCCGCTTCCTGTCGACTGGGACGCTCCAGACACGAAAGGAACCAACACAAGAAACGCGAATGTCAACAAATCAACACGGCCAAAGCCTGGACGCTGACAGCTCTACTTGACCCGTGTGTGTGTGTGTGTGTGTGCGTGTGTGTGTGTGTGTGTGTGTGTGTGTGTGTGTGTGTGTGTGTGTGGTAGCCTCACAACAAAGACTGGGCGGCGAGAAACAATGAGTAGAATAAGGTTCTCTCGGCTGCAAAGTTAGCGCTTCACAGAGTCAACATCTGTTTAACTTTGGCATGGGACGTATCGGTCGGTTCACCGGCTCAAGCTAGGGGGTTTAAACTGCTAATAATCGCCGTTCTTGGATGATTCTGACATGTGGGAACCAGTTAACAGTCTCACCGAAAATGCTGCAGACTGGTGATTGGATCGTCTCAGCTCACAAGATTTAGTGGCTGATTCAGTCGGACGGAGTTAACAGATTCAAGCTAGTGGAGTCACTCATAAGTTAGCTAACTGTCCAACTTGTAGCCGTTCAGCCGTGAAATTCTAGCCCAAATACACCGTAATAATCCGGCTCAACGCCGTTTCCATGAATTAGCCTAGCGTACCTAAGGACTCAGTGCATCCCAGCTACTGAAGACATCCAACTCATGACTTCCCGACTCAGTCCAAATATTTGACTGATAAACACAGGTGACTTCGGAAGCGACAGGCTGTAAAAATAAAGTACACACTGGGAAGCGACTTGATCAGCCGGTCATCCGTCGGCCGTTGAGTCAAGTGTCGGTTGGGGCTTCCGTGCGTCTGTGTGCGCTGGATGCCTGCAGCCGAGAAAACCGGCATCCCACAGACACTTGCAAACAGCTGCCGTCGCCACCACCGCAGCCATTAATTATTCACCGGAGCTTTGCTTCCGTGTTTACCTTTGTCGCTGGCTACCGGGCGAGTGCCTGGGAGTACAGATGGCTGGCTGGCTGGGTGTGTTACTGGGTTATACTAGTTTTGGATTTTAGATTTTGGATTAGTTTTAGTTTTTTTTTCCATTTTGACTCTGAGATTTTGATTTTTGATTTTTTTGGGGTGGATTTGCTAGTTTCTTTTTTGTTGCCTCGTTTAATTTGTATTTGAATAGTTTTACTATTCTCATACTAAGTTTTGTCACACTTATATTAACAGCTAATTTAGGACAGCAAATTTTTGGCACTGAATTTTGTACAGTAATTAATGGACGGTAATCCCTCACAACTTCGCGCTTCACCGTTTTGCGGCTTCTGCGCTTCGCGGGTTTTGAGAAAATACTGCATTTGTTAAAAAAAAATTAAAAAATAAATCAAAAAATAAAAATGAAAAAAAATAATACAGCCATATTGGTCGCCATATTGTGGAGAGAGGCATTGTTGATGCGCAAGAGAGAAAGTTTTCCTTGGAGGCCGCGTGATTGGTTCCCCGTGAAACATCGATCAATAAGAGCGCTCGTGAATTTATCCCCTGTGAGCTGATTGGCGGTTGGCAACCTTGACCTGGTCAGGAGCCTTATTTTGAAGGTTACCCAACCCGGTCAGCTGTTTTTTTTTTTTTTTTTTTTAAATACGTCACAAGGAAGCAGTGACAACTCAAATGAAGGCTTAAGTGACAGTTGAAACGGTCAACTCGGTCCGAATTTTTTTTCTTCACTAAAAAAGGACAACTCTGACGAACGGCAGGGCCACCAAAACGTTAATCACGGTGGCCTGACAAAGGTTTTATGAAGGACCCTGCCATTGGTATGTTGGATGAAGGTTGACGCAACAGCGCTGCAAAAAAAATTAAAAATTTTAGAGCACAGTTGTCAAAGTCAAGGCCCGGGGGCCAAATCTGGCCCTCCGCATCATTTTATGTGGCCCGCGAAAGCAAATCAAACATGGCAACTTCCATGACGCTTGCGAAAATATGTACCAAAATTTCAAACTTTCAGATGTAATAAATAAGGGAGACACTGGAAGCATGTTCTTGTTGCCAAACACCTCATTACAGTAACTTAAACAATAGTTGAATAAACTGTTATTCTTGACTTCTTTATATGATTTCAGTCATAATGGCCCTCCAAAGGAAATGATAACTAAAATGTGGCCCTCGACAAAAATAGGTTTGACACCCCTGCCATAGAGGGATGAATCAGTAGCAGTCTTTAAAAGAATAATCGACTTCGACGAAAATAGGTTTGACACCCCTGCCATGAATCAGTAGCAGTCTTTAAAAGAATAATCGACTCATGGCTGCATGATCCGATCACCAGATCCCCAAAGGACTTGAGGATCAGCTGTAGCTCACTTCCTAGATCACCTCCTCCACTATTGAAAAGACCCCCTGCCTTCCTCCCCAAGCCTCCCCCTGCTGTTAATCCCCTTTAGGAATAAATTATAGCCCACTAGCACCACCTCCACAAATTTGCTCACACACACACCAGATCAGGGCGGGGAGTGTGAGGCTAGGGCAGTGGCAGGCAGGATGTGGGACCAGCTGGTCGTCAGCTCAGACAAAAGAACCTGCTGAATGCGCTCAGATCTCTCACATGGCCGCTCTGGATCTCTCTCTGTCTCTCGGCGGCCTGCACGAGCGACACGGGAACAACATTTGAAGAATCGACATTCCTCCATGACTCAAACGATACGGGATTTTCTACACGGGGCAGAGGCGTGTGGAGTTCCCGCACGGATCGTAATATAAAGAACATTGGAGAGTTGACTCCAAGCAGGTTGCGGTTTTTGACATTTGAAATGTCATCACATCTGTTTCGCTTTAAAAACAAAATATCAGCAAACGTATGACAAGACTGATGACATTTTGATAACAGTCAGGCATCCCATTCCTCGTCCACGAGCAACAATATCAAACTTAATAATCATCCCTTCGGATAAAGCAGGCACATCAAAGACCCAAGGGTAGGCCACTTGGTCCCGTATAAGAACTTAGTGTGAAAAGTTTCAGAGCTTTTAAGGCGGCCATTAGTGTGCCTGCAAGGGCGTATTGGGTAATAACAGCGGGAGAAACAAGCAGAGAACCTGTTCAGCAGAATCTATTGGGGACACACCCATCCCGACAATGGAGAAACCTCAAAAACAACGCCCGTGACTGCACATGCTCCTCGTGTACATCCGTACGTCTCGTCGACTTCGCTTCTGCTTTAATCTTTTGAAAAGAAACGGTGATGTGTTGCCACTCCAATACGGTATCAGCAAGCACAGCTGCAGTCAGCGCAGAGTCCGACTTGAGCTGTGACATTTGATATGATGAGTGGGGTGTCGGGGGGGGGATTGGTGGTGAATGGACTTCTTTGTAACCTGTCATAAGACCGGAGAATAAGATAACTCCCGCTTCCTCAACGGGGTCTATGAGTGGTTTGTTTACAGGCCGGCTTTAATGCTCAGGCTGGATAAAACTGCCAGAATTGGACGCCCTACTTTTTAAGAATCGATTCTTCGACTGATCGTCGCGTCGATTTGATTAATTGTATTAAAATTGATTTGGTAATATTAATTAAACAACAATACAAAATTCAAAAGTATGAATGCAAGGTGCCGGGATTCTTTTGATTCTCTTGGTGTTGCCGTCCTCATGTCTGACATTGTAGTACCTGTGACAGAATGAATGTGCCTTTCAAAAGCGGGGTCTGGCCCCGGTGAGTGACGTGGGAGTCAACAAGTGTAGGGTTGGCTATTGTCTCGAATTTTCCTCAACTTTCCAGGCCCTTTTTCCAAACCAGAATGGTTAACTTCCTGTTCAAGTTTCCAAACTTTATAGGCCTCCTTTAACGCCTGTTAAAAGATGTTTGTGGCATGATTCGAGCAAAGGCATAATCGAGGATTGTCTTGAGGGTTCAGTGGAGTTGAATGAGTGCAAAACTTAAGCAATTGTGTGGATGTCTAAATCTCCATCTGTTCAATTCGCTAAAGCGCAAACAATAAGAAGGCGCTAATTCGACACTGCATGACTAGCACACTGGTCATGAGTAATTAACATTGGCTTGCCTTGCCTACCGATGTTACTGGCAAACCTTGGGGTAGGTTTAGCACATTAAAATGATGTCACGTAACACAAATACGTCTGTAAACAAAGCCTCTTTCACGTTGTTCCAAAACAACTTTTTTGTACACTTGTCTCATGTTTTAAACGGTCGGTTGGTGACAAATTTGTCATTCATCCCATTCATGAAACTGACCACAGGTCAGTCCAGGGACTTTTGCCATTCATCCCGTTCGCATATGCAAGTTCTACAGTATTCCAGACCAACTTTTTGTGAACTTTTGTAATGTTTCAAACAGTGGTTATGGACGCTTTAGCCATTCATCCATTACAATACGTCAAATAACTACTTTTACACTGTTCCAGACTAGCTTTTAGTGAATTTTTGTCAAGTTTCAACTAGTCGATAGAGATGTTTTTTCATCCCATTCATGGAGGCCTTTCAATATACTTTGAGCCTGCTACAACGCCATTAAGTGACATTTTTGCTGTATGTTTGGCTTATCCAGCAGATAAACTTGTGTGTGATGATACCTGATGCTCGCCACAAACTTTTTCAGCCTGCGTCCACGAAAAAAAAAAAAAAAAGGCTTACCTTGGGGAGTTTCTTGAGTTGATTGGCATCCAGCAAGAGCTCTTCCAAACTGCGGCTGTATCGGAACACCTCGTCGGGGACCGCCTGCAGGTTGCAGTGCCGCTTGTCCACCGACTCGACGTGGCGGTTGCATCGCCACAGCGGGATACACTTGAGCATGTCGGGGAGGGAGGAAGGGAGGGGGGTCCCCCGGGTGGGTGTCACTGGAGGCTCCGCATCGGAGGGCGATGCGTGCTTAGGCGGCTGAATGGAGGATGGTTAGCGGGGGTTGCTTCGTTCTCAAACCAGCAGGCCGGAATCCAATTAAAAAATAATCCCCCGGCCAATGTCAGGAGAAATATTGTCGTCGTCCCTCTGGGGGTTTTATATGAACAGAACATAAAAAGACAAATATGGTCTCACTTGAGTCGGACTGTTTCCCACGAAGTTAGCTACCACCGCCACCATCCTGGTGTCTCAGCACCGAAAATAAAACGCTTGTCAGGCGGCGTCGAGAGAGGCACCACCAGCGGGGAGGCGGGAGTGGTGACAGTGTGGAGCGGAATGAGTCAGGAGACGTTCATCGCGGTGTCCATGGGGATACTTAGTCGCTCCTCGCCGGTGTGTGTTGTTAACGAGCTAGTTACGGCTAGCCTCCATCGGCTAGCGTCTATTGTGCCTAGCCAGTATCCGCCGTTAGCTTCCACAAGTACCGCAGAGGATGTGTGGGGAAAACACCGTGGACTTCCGTGTAAAAAATAAAAATACCGCAGCAGGATAAAAGTCAACGTGTGGAGTTCTTAGGGGGCGAAACGCTCCACGGTGAGTGTATAAGCTTCTCACCAGACACGGGCGCGCGGTGCTTCCCTGCCACTGTTGAGCTCGAGCCAGGCCGGTTTGGTATAGGGGGGGCTGGGCTAGGTTTGCGGCCAAAGGACCGCCGCGTTCCGGCCCCCCTGACGCGCCGTTGTCACTGGATCCTGGATGTGTGGCGCCATCTATAAGGCCAAACGCTGGAACTGCATCGTGTTCAAAATAAATCACAAACGAAATTTTTATTACACACACTAATGTATATTTAGTTTTTAATATTTATATTTGTAAATTTTTCATCGGTATGTTTGTTTACTCATCTCACACTGGTTGTGCATTTTTTTAAACTCATACTTTTGCATTCCTTGAATAAATTATGTTAAAGCAAAGCCATGTTGCATCTACACTGGTCAACAAATGTTTACATTTTGTCAGCAGAGGTCCAAGTAAACTTTCTGTATGATTTTTTTTTTTTTGCACGAGTTAAAACTTATAACCTGATGTGGTAGAAAGAAACTTTAAAAAATGTGTAGAAATGCATTTGGGGGCACAAATGATCACTAATATACTCAGATGAGCAGTATAAGAGTATCACAAAAGCTGTGGACAAATAACCTTTAATTGTAAAAACAAAGTGTTTACATGGTCCAATGATTTCTTTAAAAAAAAAAAAATGTCAATGAGCCCCCACCCCAAAAAAAACAAAACAAAATGAATATATTTGTTTGTTTAATTGAGTCTGGGTTACAAAAATGTGAAACTTGCACCACGGAGGAGTCTTCACAGCTAACAAAGCCAAACAAACTCCCAATGGGGCCTCATTAATTAACAGCTATTCTTCCTAAAAAAAAAAAAAAAAAAAAGGAAAAAAAAAAAGAAATTACAGAGCCAGTAAGGGGAATGAGGGGTACGAGTGTGGAAGCGGTTCACGCGGACAGATCGCTGCTGTTGAAGCGGTCTTGGTCGTAGACCTCGGCGACCACCTTGCGTCCGCCGAACCAGCGGTCGTTGAGTGCCTGGATAGCTTTGTTCATCTCCGATGCCATGGAGAACTCCACAAAGATCTTGACGATGATGTCAGCGTCCTCCTCCTCGCCCTGCTTCTCCTGGTAGATGATGACGCGGTTGACCGAGCCGAACTTGCCGCACTCTTCCGTCACTTCGCCTTCCAAGGCGTCGTCTATGTCCTCAGGGCCAACCATGTTGCGCAGGACCATTACTGTGGACTGCAATTTGGGGAGAGAGAAATCAATAAATAAAACACAGATGAGGGGATTTATTTAATTCGAGATTAATAACTAGAGAATGCAATATAAGTAATCATGGCATGTGAAGTGGTAATTAATTGGATTGTTGAAATATGACGAGTTGGAATGGTTTGAATCTATTTCATACTTGTTTATTTTTCATTTCACATTTTGAGTTTGGGCGAATATTTTACATTTGTTTTCCAACATTTTGCTACACTAATCTTATATTTTGCTAATTTCTCCATTGTGAGACAAATTATCTTATTTGACACGAATCTGTATACTTTGATCAAAATTCTCTTTAACGCACACTCCATTGTGAAATATGGACATTTTCAAAATTTTTTTTGACATTTGTTTATTTTGTCTCGTCATAGCTAACATTTTTCGTTTTAGTATAATATTTTGCATTATATTCTCACTTTTTTTCTTTGTAGTTGTGCCATCTATTTTTGTCCTTTTGTACCATAAATTTTGGTGTTTCTTTTTGTCTATTTTTGCATGATTGGACATTTTATGTTCTTTAAATGTAATGATTTTTCAAATATATTTATTTTACATTGATTTGTTTATATACCTATTTTTAATTACTTTTGAAATGTATACTTTTTAAATATTTGTATTTTTTTAGTCCAATATTTTTTAGTTCAACTTTTTTTTTGGGGGGGAGGGTCAAACATATTTTACTATTTAAATTGTATGTTCTTTACACTTTTGTATCTTTCATCACATCTTCCTGTTTTTTTAAAATTCAACCTAAAATTCATTTCTTGCTATTCATCCTTTGGCTGCCGAGTCAAACGGCGGCGTTTTGTTACCTCTGACTTTCGAAGCAGCTTCTGCATGACCATGTGTCTGGCACTGCTGCCCGAGATGCTCATGTGCTCCTGGTCGCTCAGCATCTCCTGGCCCGTGCCGTCCTGGAGCGCCTCCTCTTTCTCCTCCTTCTTCTCCTGCAGCTGGCCGGCGGCGGCGGCCGCCGCCAGCACCTGACTGGAGAGGACGGGTGGCGACGCTAGCACAGGGTTCACCAGGCCCACCTGGGGGAGCACTGGGATGGGGGGACGCACAGGAGTCACTCCTGCAAGGGAAGCGCCAGAAGGAAAATAGGTAACTTCAACGTTTCGTTAAGATTTGGTCTGTATTTGTGTGTGCATTTTGGTCATATAAAGTTCCAATCAAGTCTAATTCTGTAACCATTAGCTATTCAGCTACTTCAAATATTTTACTGTGCCGTCAATTACATATGTACACTTTCTGTGTTCAATTTTTTTAAAAATGTGTTTTTCTGATATTTTTGCTTTTAATCATTTGGGAATTTCAATTGATGCACGCAAATGGAATAAAGTGACAAGAGAAGTGAAGTTAGCACCAAACGTAAAAACTTAGCTTCCCCCCACCTCCATCTTTAGTTCTTCCAATCATTTAAAATCAACTTCACTGTCAGTAATTTTAGAAAGCTATTTTTTTTAAATCTCTTTACACTGAAATTGCTTTCAATGTATTGTTTGTCAACACGTTTCATTGTTGTCAATGCACGTTCTTTTAACCTTGGTGGGCTACTTTTGAATGAATTCCAACAAAGCTTTATGATACTTGCAATTTCAGCCCCAGAGTTTCGAAGACCGCAGACGTGTACAATCGACGCCCTCACCTGTGATGACGCCGGGCGCCTGCGCGGCCATAACGGCCTGCGGTATTCCCATCTGCTGACTAAGAAGCTGGGGCGCAGCTAACGCCCCCAGGACTGACGCGCCAGCTACGGCCTCCTTGAGAGAGGGGGTGCCCGAGACATTAGGTAAGGGAAACACACAAGAACACAGCACAGAGGCAGCACAGTCAACAATCAACACAGTGTGACCACATGGACAGCTCAGCGCCCCTTGACAGGAAGGCGGGCTTCATCTTCGAAATTATTCAAGCGACGGTAAGAAATTCTGGTTAATCAAAAGTAACTCGTGCTTACTCTGAGAAGACTCTTAGCGCGCACGCCCTAAGAGTGAATGGGAGGAGCGTCGTCACGCTACTCTAAGAACGGGGAACAATCATTCAATTTTTCCTTTTGAATGTACAGTGTTCCCCTGCAACTCGCATCTCTTGGCAGCCACGTTTAAAAAAACTAATCTGATTGTTGATGTTTTTTTTTATAACATTTCAAAACCAGCCTCTGCTGCTTGTTTAGTGAGGCACCACCACAAGGGGTCAGCCAACCATAAGGCGGGGGGGGGGAACGCATGTTTAAGTCATCATTAAGTCAGCCAAGTGATATTTTCATACTATCATTTATTTTAAACTGATACTTTGTTGTAAAGTTTCATGTTGTGTTAAAGAGATGCTTTCGCTAGGCCGATTAAAAACTGCGACGAATAATTGGGTTTATAATAGTGAGCAAATCTCATCATTTTGCGTGCAAACTCCGTTATTCGCTGCTTTTGTGTTCAGGCCCAAGGCTTGTATAGTAAACAGGTCATGCTTTGGCATCACCCTTACGCCACGAAACTACATCGAAGTCAGTTGAGGAGCTTCATGTACTGCTTTGCCATCTATTTGCCATTCAATGGTCCTGCTGTTAGTTTTTTGTTTTAGAATTTGCTATTGTATTTTTTAAATTCTTGAAACAAAATTAGAGTCGCACCCAATTTCATATTTTGAATTTTCACTCAATCCCTATCCGCCACAAATAACTTGGGGAACACTGTACCGCATTCAAAACGGACCCCCGACTAAACTGGCCTTCTCCCAGTCACCTCAAATCAAAGCAAAGTGGCCATCAGTTATTTTTATATTTACCTGGAAGGCCATTAAATCCCTTTGGAAGGGATTCATACTTGCCTGGGCCGTAATCTTGGCAGTGGCCGCCGCTGCAGCCACTGCCGCCGCCGGTGGCAGACCACCGGGGGTGGTGGGGGTAAGCATGGGCATGGGTGGGGTGACCGCCTTGCCCACCCGCAGGTACTGACCCCCCAGGTCAAAGAGATTCATTGAAGACACGGCGTCCACGGCCGACTGAGGCTTTTCATACTCTGCAAGTCAACACATTGTAGTTAGAAGGCAAGGAGGGCGGGGATACGGACCGACGCCCCCCCAACACAGCTCCCGGCTCACCAATGAAGCCGAAGCCTCTGTGCCGTCCGGAGGTGGGGTCTCGGGCTAATGTACATGATTTGATCCTCCCGAAAGCCTCAAAGACACTTTTGATGTCGTCGTCCGACAGGTCGGGGTGCACCGAGGCCACATAGATGCGATTAAAAGCGCGCGCTTCCTCTGCCAGCTGGTCAATGATGGGTTGCGCCTGACCGATGTTACTTGGCCGCCCAACCTATAGCACAGATCATACCAGCAGGGCTACTTAACAGGGGAAGGGTTGCTATGGGGAAACCGAGGGCACACTCCGAATCCCTGACCTCAATTCACTGCAGCTGGCTCATCTGACACTCCATCTTGTGGAATGCGCTTGTCTCCAAGTCCATTACAATGGCACCTTGACTTATAAGTTTGTCGCCATAAACTCATTCACTCCCAAAGACGTTTTTAAACGTCTTTTCAGACTTGGTCCAGCATTGGCTGGTACTGAATGAGTTTAATATATTACATGTCTTTAACAAAACAGCCTCTAGTGTGTAAAAATAAGAACATGAAGATTGCTTTTGACATTGTAATTTCTGTGTGCATGGTGGCGGGCAGTCATAACTGGCCTTGTGAGCAGTGGTGTGAGATATGGATCAAAATCTGTATCCCCGTAATCATAAATATAGAGAGGAGAGTGATAGACAGTCAGACTCTAGTTATACTGTATGTGTGCCTTGAAAGGGTCTGGTCAAGTGAGTGACATCATGGACATGGCCAGTGAGT